GATATAACATATCTTCAGCAAAGGTTTTCAGATACCTTAGATTGGAAGTGGCACATAATGCCTTCCGTATTATCACTAACTTTGTCTATTTATAGTAACACACATACAGGTGTATATCGACAAGTAGTCTAGCATATTCCAATGCACTATATTACAGTTCCTTATATTGGTATAAGAAATGTATTTTAATCACAACATTTTGTGATAATTAAATCTCAAATATATTTGCTATATTTTCTTTAAATTGTACGTCACTTCGTGTGTACATTATAGCAAGAATATACGAGTACACCTTTGTACATTTTGCATTTACCTTGAAAATCAAGAAAGATATTCTACTCATATACTTCTGTATAGAGATTTATTCGTGTTAAAATAACTACGATAATGTATCAATTTATTTAGACGAAAACATGTCAAAATTATTAAAAAGTGAACACGTTCGGTCCACCATTGATTACGTGATAAGCACCTGTGTGATTCACACTACAGTACACGTGTATTTTTAGAACAAGGTTAAGAAAAAAGAACAACGATAAAATACGTTGTATTTAACGAACTTGGATATTAAGTTCTCAAGATAACTAATATTTATAAAACATTTTTTAATGGAACAACGTTCTCAGTTTTACAAAATCTTAAAATTCTGGACGTCGTCACAGATTATAACGAGTTAGACATGTTTGACACATTAAAAAAAAATATGATTGGCACAGTCAGGTAATAGCCGCAGTATTTATAGCTAGGTATAGCTACGTCATACCCATAGGTCAAGGATTTTGACCTCTTTTAAATGAGATGCCTCGTTGTACATCGGGAAATGAATGCTATAGCTACATCCTCGAAGAGCCGATGAACGTAATTAGTAGAATACAACACGTAAATAGTAAACCTTGAAATAAGCATATCGTCACTTAGAATAACGTTAGCTTAAAATCCAGATTTAATTAAAGTTCGAAAAACGTTCAGCTAATTTAACAGATCCCTATTCTTTTAAATGCAATATTATTGAATTAACAAGTGAGGATTTCTTTTTGGATAAAAATAAGCACGGAAACTGGAACATGTGGAAGACGTTATCTCTTTGTTAAAAAGAACAAAATATCTATATCAAAATAATTTATATTTTATATAGAATTGCTTTATACAATAAAAGTAAAACAACAAAAATACCGAACTCCGAGAAAAATGCAAACGGAAAGCCCGTAATCAAATGGCATTAATACACTAGTAGCCAGATTTAAGTCTGAAACGGTCATTTTGGTCTGATCGCCTTAATTTACCGCTAGCTAAAATCGTTAAGACCAGTTTAGACTTTCAGTCTCTGTTCCGATTTATCGTGTTCAGTCAGATCAGTCGTGTCAAGATAAACAAGACAGATTCTTCTAGCATTCAAATAAGAATTGATTAGATCACGTTTAGATCAAATAAGACCAAAGGTAAAAAATCTGTTTATTTGCTGTAAGATCATGTTCAGTCGTGTTAAGATTTTAAATATTTTAAAAAAAACGGAGGACACTTTATCTGTTTTAATCAGAGGTTACTCCCCCTTTACGAATAAAATCTCTATAGCTTGGAGGATATTCTGTTGTGGTCTTTTAATGTTACTGTATATCTATTTTAACAAATAAAGTATGCAAACTTTCAAATAAATTCATTTTTTTTCCGAAAGAATCTTTAAAATTAAAATGGTTATATAAGAAAAGATTAAGACTATTTCCTTTGAAATAGAAAATACTGATTTAAAAAACACATTTTGTATTTATCTTGAATTATTAAATACATAAACTAACTCTGTAAACAAAGGTATTAAATGAACAAATAATTGTGTTCTGAGGAATGCAATCCGTAGAAGAAGAAAACACGGTTTTAAATCATGTGCATTGAAAATCACGAATCTTGTGTCGTGTTCGACATCTAATCCTTTATAAAAGATTCGAAATTGAATATTAATATGTATTTTTTTTCACCTACGTACTCTACATGCGTGTTTTTTGCCACATTGCTTACAAAAATTATCATATATCTTAAATCTCTTTCAATAAAATGTCCTTATTCAATTTGCTACTCACTTGTATTTCATCCTTTAAAATTAGTCTGTTTGTTTAATAATTTACAGTTTAAGGAGGGTTCTTCGTCTTTTGCAAATAGATAAAGAACGAAATGAAAATTTGCTTTCGATTGCTTTCAGACAGAGAGAAATATGTTTTGTTTTATTTCAGAAGATTTTTTAGAACTGATATAAAACTATTCTCAATCTTTTACAATCTAGAAATTTAATTTGGTAGTGTTTTTAAGCACATTGTAGATGAAACTTGTATGATCTAACTTTTTCAGAAGTCTGTGGAATCTTCAAAATAGGACGTTCCGGAAAACACAAGTCGCTATATAAAATGCTTGTAAAATTCAGAAACTTGCAGTACGCTCGTATTTAAATACTTTTCTGTTAAAAAAGGAAACGTAAAAACAATTACTGAAATTCGCCTGAAAAATGGAAATGAATAGCGACTATCTAACCTTTTTGTCAAATATCGAATACCCAAATAAATCTCTAACTTATCCACGCTCGCAATATTTATTTGTTACTGACAGCTTTCTGCTAGAACTCGGTTGGACATCAGTTTAATGTAGGCGTAACAATTTATCACATTTATCCAATCAGCTGTCTTGTGTGCGAATAAGAATTATAACCGTGTACGTGTAACGTGCATTTACCAAGCCGACCGTGCAAGAGCTGTATAGCCAGTCAAGGTCGTTAAAAACTTTCATATATATGTTTGTCAATCGTACATCTCTAATCATGTAACGTTCATTCTTGTGGTTTTTATATGACAGTTGGTTATAGAGCTCGTCCAAGCTCATATTTTATCTGTTAGTGCGAATATATGTTCCGACTTTTAATAAAATGTGCATTTTTACTTACTTTCTTGTGCACTCTTAATTATATTCATCGTACATAACGTTTATTCGGATTCTTGATTTTTTGTGTAAAATTTATTAATCGTCTGTTAATATTTCGTGTTTATTCAGTGAGTATTTGCTAGGACCAGAGACATATATATATATATATATATATATATAATGGGCCGTAAAAAAATATAATGTTGAACAACTGCTATTTGTTACAAATATTGTGTCAATTAAAAACAGAAGTGCTTTTGCAAGATTTAGGTGTTGGATAGTTCCACTAAAAATAGAAAATGGAAGGTATGAACGAAAAGAAGTTCCACGAGATGACATGTTTTAACTGTAGCTCTACTACTGAAGATGAACTTCATGTCCTTTTAAAATGCCGTTTATACGTAGATTTAAGACAAATCATGTAACCTAAAGCTATACATTTTAATGAACACGTTAACCTATTGATAACTATTATCAGTTAGGACAAAATTTGTATTTAATAACGAAAATGTTGCTGCTATAGTTGCCAAAACCATCAACAATACTTTATTGAGAAGAAATAGTATTTTATTTCATTAGTTCTTAAAGAAATAAATGACAAATGTTTTATTTCCATTAAGTATAGATGGACACTGTAAATATCAAATGTAAATGTGTGAAAATATGTTTATATAACTGTTTAATATATTGTGTCTTAAAAGTCTCCCATAAATCTTTTTAAGATTGATGCATACAATGTAAATGTTTTAATGTATTATGTTTATTTCTGTGAATCTCAATTTATGTTTGTATGTGATGAGAATATAATAAAATACTTTTTTAAGCTGACAAATTTGTGTCCCTCAACGGGGGTTTAATACCACTGATATACTACAGCACCAATCGCAATATACATGTACATATATTTTGGACATCTTATTATGAACGTTCAACTTGAGTCGTTTTTCCAATGTTGAACTATGCTAAATTATAATTCTTCGCTAAAATGGCAAATTCATATTATACTCAGATATTTTCAATCATTTAGGTTTTGATAAATACCATTACAAATATCATATATTCGGCGTTTTTCTGGAAATTGGCATTACTTTTCCGCGAAAAAAATATAAGTTTCCGAGAAAAAAGTCTACGTTACCGCAAATAGATATCTTACTTTTCCGGGATAATAGTTACGTATGTTTTAAAATCAGCAGTAAACAAATATATCTTGACATGAGTTCATACAGATTTATGTTTTGTTCAACAAGGTCGGAAGTACATCTTCTCCTTTTCCTCCAGTATAAAGCCAAACAAAAGAAATGTGTCAGCCAATTTCCAAAATCCAAATCTTTAGACTGAGTTTAAGGACAACAACTTTGTCCAAAATGAAAATAAACCTACAACAACTGATTGCAGAAGCATGAAATGTCTTTGTTAAAGCAATATGCATTTGACATTCAAAGTCAATATGAACTGCCTCGGGATGGAGAGTAGATGAATAATCTATCTAACATAACAATTATACTCAAATAGTTTTATAATTTACTACCAGGTAAAAATCCGGAAAAGTAATAAATACAATTTCAGGAAACGTATACTTTAACTTTCCGGAAACGTAGTATTGGAACTTTGAAAAATTAGCGGAAACGCAATACGCCCGTATATTGTATATCGATGATGGAATACCCTCATGAACATGTGACCATCAGAAACTGTGAATATGTACAAGAGGGTATTCCATCAACAAAATACAATATAAAAGGTTGTCGGGTAAGTGTGGATTGCGGATTATTCATTTATTTCATTTAAACTAAGCTAAATACGTTTTGTGTCAAATTTAATAAAAATAAAAATTTTATGTATTTGAAGGCATTTTGTAAATTAACAAGTATAAGATCAGGCAAATTATCACGTATTCCTTTAGAATGATTTTAATATAGGAACTTTTTTCAATTGAAATTGTGTTTACGGGTAAAAAAAATTTTATTTCTGATCAAATAGTTAAATATATATGATATTATCATAACAATTCTTTATTTAATTTAGAATAAACATGTAACACTTTCTCGAATTAACTTTTCATCGTGTTCATGATTGCAAAACCGGGACATCATTTTTGCGGTGTCTTCCCGATTGTCCCACTTTTTGAAATTACAGGTAAAAATGTAATGAAATTTTGTGGGACAATCGGGAAGATGTTTGTGGGACAATTGGGAAGTTTAAATGTGGGACAATTGGGAATTGTTTTGATAGTGATTAATTTGTTTTTAAAGTGTGTAGCAGGTAATTACAAGTTATTATGTAACTCATAAAATTTGAAATAAACATTGAGAAAAGATGGTGTTTACATATTTTCTTTTCTTTTGTGATATTTTGTTAAACTACTGTCCAAATAAAGAACAATTATATAACAAAATAGATATATTTTAACTTAATAAAATATTAAATAGACTCCTTTAACATAAATTGTAAATTGAACATATAGTGCATAATTGAAAAATTTAGAAGTATCAAGGATAAAATTAAATTAAATTAAAAGATGTGTTTTAGAGAAATACAAAGAGATAAGAATAATTTTACATGTTACAAAGTTTCAGGGATTTGTTCTAAAATTGACAGGTTTTAAGCTGATATTAGATATATTCATAAAACAATGAAATGAAACATATTCTATATAATAAGTCTGATCATAAAATTGTTCAAGTAAGCATTCAATTCAAGCAAAAAAATGAGGAAAGTTTTATTTGAATATTAATAAGAAAATCCTTGAATTAGAAAATCATAAACTTAAAACGAAATAATGTGCAGATATGTTGATTGTATAGATATCTGGTTTAACTTTACACAATAATAATAAATTGACCCCAGCCATGTCAAACCAATGAACAGAAATTTGGAATTTGTTGCTTCTCCTCAAAGGACGCTACATTTTAGACTAAGACGAAAGACTGGTCAGTCCTTACTTAGAATAATTTGTCTGTGTATGGTGGCACATGTGTCTTTCTGTGGACTGTTATCTTGTGCACTAGCAAGTTAAAATTCCGGCTTGATGACTGTGTCGGTCTAGTTCTTTTCAAAGAAGGTTTCATATTCATCTAACACCAACATGTTCTCGTCCTGCTTAAAGCATTTAACTTGCCACTGGACGTTTTTATAACAGTGTATGTGTTTAGAGGACACTGATGACATTTCTGGTCCACATCTATCTCTTTTCCCTAAATGAGAATATAGGTTGAGATCTTACAATCTATTTTATTACATATATATAAAATTGCTTATGTAATATTGAGATTGTAAATGATTTGTTTTTTATTAAATCAGTCGCTAGACCTTTCAGTCTGAGCGCTATTAAAAATGAAAAAAAAAGTGAAAATTGCGTCCATGTTTGTAAAATTTAAATAACAACTTTAAAATAAAAAAAAATATTGATATTTGACTTATGAATTAACCTAGTAACATAATAGATATCGTTTATTACATATATGTTATATTGCTTAATTAAAAGAGATTTTAACTGATGATTTATTCAACAATTCATAGTTACATTTATAAAATTGATATCAACTACTAGTTTGCTCATGCAATAATTAATTTTAATTTGATATTGCAAAACAAACAACAATTACATTGTTTATTCAAGAACATTAAAAATATGAAAATAATGTGGGATAATCAGAACTTTCCATGTGGGACAATCAGAACTCTAAAATTTTAAAAAGTGGGACAATCGGAAATAAACCGTTTTTGATGCATGTCTTAAGATTAATTCCGAAAATAATAATTTACAATAGTACTTTTTTTAACCTTCTAGGATTATTAAAGAATGACATTTTTTTTTGTCGTTTACGAATTCATAGGACAAATTTGATTGCAATAGGATATATTTTGTATCATAGAAAAAAAACCAGTAGTTTTTATCAGATAGATTTTTTTTCAGTTTTAAAGGATATCAAAGTTATTTTGAAAAGTACAAATAATTCATTAAAGTTTCGTAAGCATCTATCAAGATCCAGCAACTTTTGTCTAGTAATACGTACATCATATAATATGCAATTTAATCACCAATGAATGAGATGGAGTACAGTTATACCTCGATCTATAAAAACACCACAAAGGACCTTTAAAAATTAAAAACCAATTTCCTATTTTTAGAATAACTGCCATGCCGTTCCCTTTGTGCCTTAGAAACGTTTTCGTTAAAGCAATTTAAGAATCGTCAAGTAAGGAAAGTACGGTACATACTTTGTTTTGTGCAGAAAAATTGATAAACATTCAAACTATAATTTCATACCTTTAGAATTATTGCCACACAGTTCCCTTTGTGTCTTAGAAACGTTTTAGTCGTTGCAATATATATTACCATACATAGGAAAAACACACTGCTTATGAAATACGAGACACAAAAAAAAAACAACAGCAAAACATCGGTATCCGTACATAAATTTCGTAGATTTGGTAAAGCCTGTATCTTAAAAAATATTACAACAAAATATTAAGAAAAATATTTGATGCTTTTATCATTTATATTATTTTATAACTATTTAAAAATTCACATACATGAGCTATCACATAGCCCAGATATAAAGTCGGTTCCTTACCGATACCGGTGATAACACCAAATCGTACATAATTAAAATCGCAGTTTTTATTGAAATTGTTAAAAACAATTTTACATGTTTCTTCCGGAATTATAATATTTTTATGCTTTTAATGGAATTTCAAGTCCATTGTGCTCTTATTAAACTTCATTTTGGTCCTATGTGTACCTTTGTGCACAAAGGAGGTCATTTCGGTGTTCTAAGGCACCCGTTATAACTTGGGTTTTTTAAATCATTCCAATTCCATTGCATACGAGCTTTCACTGTTGTAATTAATCTATACGGTTACGCCATCAAATATTATTTTGTACATAAGGGCAAAGTATTGTATAAATGGGTATTTAATCTAGTCAACAGATGAATATTATTTGAATGATTATTTCTATAAATATATCAAATGAAAATCATAAGACCAGACTATTGATGAACATAAACATAAACGCATGATATTTATATAGACCTTTACAATTTAAATATTTTTTTTTATTTAATAGATATCTTATCATCTACCACAGCCTCAAGAATTAACTAACATTTCTGAAAGCTACTGAACAGTACTACATTGACTGCGCGCTAATTGCTTGAACAAAAATGACTTCACAACAGTGCATACGTTTAAAAGTGGATAAAACGATTTTAGAAATCATTGTTCATGCTTTAAGATGATGTTAAGATCTAAATGATCGTTTTACACTAAATGTTGGTAGTCAGTACCAGGACCTACGCACTAACTTTGGGCTATAAAGAAGTTTTGTTTTATCAACATTTATGAACAATAGCCTTTTTTTTCAGATAACCATGTATTGCATAATATATAATAGATATGTAAGTTTAATTGGAGAGATTAAAATGTACAGAATACAAATCATACAGATAACTTAAAACATAAACAAAAAATTTGATATCAGCAGTTTTTCATTTGTAAAAGAAATATCATTATTGACTTCCGGTTTGTTATTCCGTTATTCAAAGTTAACTGTAAACAATGTAAATCCTTAGTTAGGATTTGGTGGATCCGGTGGTGGTGGCGGAGGAGGTAGTGCCCACACTACTGGCTTGTCATCAGCAGCCTTAATAACCTCAGCAAGTGTTGGTATTTTCAATTTGTCTGTAATAAGCATTAACATTATTACATATTATGTGTCACTAGAAACTAAGTTATGTAGCTAATTTTTGCAATAGATCCATGAAAAAATCTTTCTTAATTATATACATTTAACCTCTAACAGCAATCGACACATTTTTCAGATTATTTTGGAATCATTTGTAAAAACTAAAAACTCAACAGATGATTTTCCTTTCATAATGCCAAATTCAAATTTTCCAGCAGTAGTACATCTTTCAAGATATATGTGCCGACTTTCTGAATTTGAAACAAATAACAGAAAGATGTCAAGATATCAACTTTTTGTTTCGAATTCAGGAATCAGAATGTAATTAAAATGACAAAAGGCGACACATATTTATCTTGAGTATCGTATATGTACATTAAAGACAATAGTCAGAGTGTATATTTCTGCTGGGAAATTGGATATTGATCTTTAGAAAAGTTGAAATCATCACGTTTGTCATAGATTTTTGTTTGAAATCATCATCGTTCTGTGTCCATTTAAAAGAAAATGTGAAGATGTGAAGCAGTTGTCTAATGATTGTATATTTATACAAATATGTCTCGAATACATTTTCAGCAAATTTCAGATTTATATTTTCAGATTTTTACGATTATAATGAGCACAATTCTTTTTAATTTTTTTTCTAAAGACAAAATATCATTAAAAGGTACTTTTAAGCAACGAGTATCAAAATTTTATGCAAATACACAGGTTCTTCGGAACCTGAGATAACCCATTATGGTTTTGATTTATATTGACCAGTCTTTATGTTTCTTTAATATTAACTGTAACAATTTCAATCAACTAGCTGCGCATTCCGACAACTAATGATTCATCAGATTGCCCAAAGGTCAAATATGTAAATTTCTATAAACTATTTTGTTAAAAAAAAATTGTCGTCTTTCTTCTATGCAAAGGCGTTGTCAGATTTTTGTCGACTAATGAGTTTTGAATGTCAATTGCTTTTTTCGCTTTTTTGAACATTTTACTCTTATATTTTGTTCCAAGGCTTATTACATTTAAAGAAAGCTGGTGAATGTAAATTTGCCCGAAATAGGCTTATCGCAAAGCCTCCCCCCCCCCCCCCCCCCAAAAAAAAAGAAAGAAAACAAAATAAAATAAATGACCAAATTGATAAAGTAACGTGTAGCCAAATTACAAAGAAGAAACATGCTTGGGTTGTTATCCAAAAAAGAACCAAAGGGGAAAACAATATGATGTGATACAATGATGTATGCTTCTATCAGCTTAGGGTCCATCGAAACTATACAAAGTAGGAAATATTTGTGATATGACTTATAAATGTAGTGTTTTGTACTTCATAATTCATCTTTGAAACAATCTTTTATCCACAGAAAAACGCCTATTTTTGAGACCGTCATTGATGCGCGTTGAATACGCTTTCGTGCAAGCTCAGTCAGCGTACTGCCCGCGATATCCAAGTAAAAGTGAGTAGACAGGATAACAATAGGACAGTTTGTCCTATAATGATACTGTTTTGTACTGTAAGTGCATCATTTTGCTAAAATAAACAACATCAATACTTTTTACTCGGGTTCAGAACTGTCCATTACATGAAATGATCATCCCACCTTTTTTTGTGTGAACAAAGGCACCAGACGTCCTGACCACTCCCTATTTTATGTGTACACACAGGCACCGTTGGCACTCTTTGTTTCAACACTTGCCCAATTGTACCGTGGTTTCGCAGGCCTCTTACAATGAGGTTATATGTATCGCTTTAAAATCGAATTGATTGGAAAGTGTAAAAACATAACTTCATGTATCGCTTTTTTTTATGTATATGCCTATAATTATATGGAAGAAAATTTAGTACTACTACATTTCATGTCTGTCAAATTAGACAATACTTGTGCTAATCATGATGATGTTACAATTTATGTCAATAAACCAATCATACATGCCATAATCTTTCTCATATTATGTTACCTTTAGTCAAATGAGGGGGACTACTTGGTCTTGGTAAACCCGCCGCACGTAATACGCTGTGGCCTCCTGTAAACCAAACATTTGATATAATATCACAAATGGATCCTTTTTTTTATAAAAAAAAAAACCTATTTGTAATTATATATATTGACCGTGTTTATTTAATATGATCTTCATTTCTTCACACTAACCAAATATTTCAAAATGACGTATTTTGATTTTATATTAATCTGACGGCTTCTTTTCATATATGAGTCATAATCAGTTAAAGTATACAAAGGAAGAAAAACTTCACTCAATTGTTTAATAGATACGGCGATAATATCTTTTATAATTGGTAAAAACTTCAAATATTTTATTGGTTAAGTTATCAATACATCATTGTGTTGAAATCTTAAACATATTTTCCTTATTTGTTCTTACACTGATTATGGTTTTGATAAATAAAAGAAACATTATAAATGCGTGTTGGTTTACATTTTGAAAACTAACCATGCCAACGATTCTTCAACGTAGATAATCGTATTTTGGCTTTGCATTAGGTCATGCTTTTCCAAGACTGTTTACTACGAAGTCTTCATATTAAATCTGTTGGTGGTAATTGATATTTTTGTTTATAAAATATGGTAATTCTGTTTATTGAAATTGCATTGTTAACTTGAATTGGCTTTCTGTATCTGACAGCACTCTTAAATAGGTGTTTGGTGTTTTTGCCTTCATAATATGTGTATTTGTGTATGTGGCTTATGGACAGGTTAAGCCCTCTCAAACTGATTTTTACAGGTTTGTCTAATAGTGTGCTGTCTCGAAACTACTAAATTAAATGGTATTTAAAAAACACCTTTCATATGAATGTTTTTTGTTCAAAAACCTCTCCAAATTTTGTTTTGTTTCAGTTTATTGGTAGGTTGAAGTCTCATTTAGAGAAACATATGATAACTGCCAGTATTTAGATACATAAATATGAAATATGGTAATATTACCAGAGAAGCTTGGAAGACTCAGTTTCACTATTGGTTTGGTATTTGTTTTCTCTTTAAAACAAAAATCAAATGATTAGACATTCCTTATTTTCTTCTTCATATTTGAGACAAAATCTAACTTTGTTGATTGTTAAAATGATATGACTGTTAATATAAATAAATTGTCCTTATACTTGTTTTGTATTACGTCTGAATGGTACAGAAAATATTATTCATAAAAAAAAAACATCTGTATCAAAATATCTTATAATTTTATTTGCCAAAGAGTTACATTCAAGAACAAATTTTAACGTGAAAATGTACTGACATCAACATGACAAAAATAATGTACAAATTGAATTAAAAAAAAATATAAACACAACAAATTATATGAACCATGTTTCCCATTACAATTGCATAGGTGAATGTATTAGATTTACGTTATAAACCCGTATAACACTTATTAAGCATTTAAATCATATGAAATTTCTTCCGAAAAGGAAATATCTACTCTGTATCATACCAAAAGAAGCTATTTTCATCCGTTTTTCATTTAGAGCCTCATTCGTTGAACCTGTAAATAAAAGTATTCAACAAATTGTTTTACATTCCGTTCATTTATTATGATCGTTCAATTTCGATATTAATTTTGCCACATTACATCTAAAACAAAATATACCATACAGATGGTGGACATAAAAAATCAGTTGTTCATACAAACGAGTTAGTTGTTGCTATACATCTTTGTTTGTATGTTTGTTTTAAGAATCAGATGTTGGTGCTTAAATTGAATTATGTAGTATTACCTTTGGTAAAATCACAAAAATACTGAACTCCGATGAAAATTCAAAACGGAAAGTCCCTAATCAAATGGCAAAACCAAAAGCACAAACACATCAAACGTATGGACAACAACTGTAATATTCTTGACTTGGTACAGGCATTTTCTTATGCAGAAAATGGTGAATTGAACCTGGTTTTATAGCGCTTTACCTCTCACTTGTACGACAGTCGCGTCAAATTCCATTATATTTACAACAATGCGTGAATAAAGCAAACAGACATTATAGGTAAAAATGTCAAAATGGTACAGCAGTCAACATCGTGTAAGAATCTTAATCACAACAAAAACAAACAAATTTTTAACAAAGAAGCACAAAAATCATATATCACAATTAACAACCTCATGCATTGCTTACTTATTTTCGTATTTTATTTACGAATGCCAAATCAACCCATAAAGGATCGAAAAATTTAAGCACTGTGACCGAATCGTAATTTTAACATAAACGCTGGCGTACAATCGCGTGTTTGACGTCAGATAGTAAACGTCACACAGATAGTGATTTTGTCGTTCAAAGTATGCAGACATTTTAATAGAACGATAACACAATGGCGGGATGTTTATGGTACAGAGACCTGTCACATGTATCAAAGAAACCTAAAAAGTCACACGGACAAAGTACACAAATAAAAATGAAATATAATACAAACAACACAATGCCGGGATGTATAAGTACAGAGCCACTTCAAATGTATATCACCAAAAACAGACCAAATAGTAAAAGTAATATTAATAAATGTGGTGTTGATTGTTGTTCCGACAACATGATATGGTAGATTAAATTACAATACCCTTCCCTTTTCACGAATGTGACTTACCGAATTAGACTATTTATCGGATTTGTAATAACATAAGCAACATGACGGGTGCCACATGTGGAGCAGGATCTGCTTACCCTTCCGGAGCACCTGAGATCACCCCCAGTTTTTGGTTGGGTTCGTGTTGCTTAGTCTTTAGTTTTCTATGTTGTGCCATCTGTACTATTATTTGTCTGTTTGTCTTTTTATTTTTGGCCATGGCGTTGTCAGTTTGTATTCGATCTATGAGTTTGACTGTCCCTCTGGTATCTTTCGTCCCTCTTTTGAGACTCGAATAGGAAAATTGAAGAACACAAAATTGAGAATGGAATTTTTAGGTAAGATTATGATTAACATTTCTTTTTCTAAAGATGTTATAGCCTAATAAATGGTTGTAAACGTTATGCTGAATGTTATATCATTGTATTAAGGAGATTGTTTCAAAACGGACGATTGTTTTATTAGTTTGGCATTCAATGTAACATTGAATAACTTCAATTACGTTTAAACCACCAATATTCAAAATTGTTTTTACCAATACATTGCAGGTTAGTGTCTTCGTTATCTGATTGTTTTTTTAAAGACGAGTTATTGATTATCGTGCGAACCGTAATTGCACCCAAGTACTATTGTTATTTAAATAATGAACCTAATTTATTGAGGTTGACAAATCAGAAAAAAAAGATATATGAGTTAATTAGGTCTGTTCTTTACTTTATACAATAACAAACAAATGAATTATTCTCAAGTTAATTTTTTTTACTATTACCGTATATAGATATTTATGTTTCTGGTTCAATTTGTACTGGCTATTATTAATATTTTTATTTCTCGAAAATGCCAGTAAGACTATGTTATATTCCTGTATCAAAGGAAGGGGGTCAACTGATTTATTTATGTCTGTCAGGCTGTATGCCCTTCCATACAATGAAACTCTGTTGTATTTTTTTTCTCAGGAACTACAAATAAAAGCTTCCTAAAATTTGGTATCTGTCGTCATGTGAACATGCAACACCGCTTAATCATTTTAAGATTCATCGATCCTCAATGTCCTTGTGTTCCTTCGTACATAACATTATTGTGCATGGCAACACATAACTGACATATATGATTATTTTGACAACACATAGCAGCATTCTTAAAACATTTACCAGCAGTCTTTACGTGCACCTTTAAAATATTTTACCTCATGGCTTTGTAAGAAACTATAGTCGCATTATTTTTGTGGAAATCTTGAGAGAAACGAAAAGTAGGCTATATGAATAATGGTATGATGCCTTTTATTCAGGAACATGAAGTACGTAAGATAAATTATATTTTCGTAGTTATTTTGTTACAGTGTATTTTAAAGATGAAATTTCTTATAAACTTATCATGGCAAAACAATCAAGAAATATCAAAATTAAATTTTCTTACCCGAGCCGACTTCAGAACTTTGTTTCCTTGACTTTGCATCTGTGAAAAAAAGGTGAAATGAGGAAAACAGTATTGAAATCTGATATAAACTATACTTTAGATTAAACAGAGTTTTTTGTTCAAAACGGAATTTTTTTAACTTAGTAATGCCTTCTATATATAAATTGTATGTGTCTTAGAACGTCACTTCGTCATCGATATCCACTAATCGTAAAAATATAAAACACATATTTGATACTGGCTTTTCATGACAATACATTATCTTAGTGTAAGAAAATCAGCAACATGAAGTTCTTTTAAACGTGTTTTTCTATCTCCAAAAGATTTCACTAACTGTTAAGAAGTGTTTACTGTCCGTTTGCCTTATCACTTTTTCTGTTATTTATCGTTTTCGTTTTGGGGTTTTCTTTTCTGTTTTTGGATATATCTATTTCTTATTTAATATAAAAGTTAGTGCACTTCATAATGTTTTTTTTTTTTCAATTAGACTTTGTAAACATGAAGTATTTAAAATTTTCTATTACAGCAAATAAATCATGTAAAAAAATCAAGTTGATAAAACTATAAGCTAGATCAACAAAAACCTATTCCTTTAAATGCAATATAATCAAATATACTTGTTGCACAGCCTATCGTCTGTGAATACAAACAAGCTAGCTTCCTGTTTTAAATGATTTAGTCTACAATTCAAATGGTAGACTTTATCATATTGTTGGAATGAACAAAACTAATGTATCTTAATAATGTATGTAGCGTTGCGATTTGCCCAATTACATAACAAAGACTGGATTTAGCATACAGAAGGGAAAACTTTGGTTAATATAGACTACATGTTTGTTGCTAAAAGTTTGTGTTTGTGTGACTTTGTTTTCTATTGGGTATTGGTGCTTAAACTTCATAAAGTAGTATGATCTTGTTTGATGATGATGATGATGATGAGGTTGATGATGATGATGATGATGATGATGATGATGATGATGATGATGATGATGATGATGATGATGATGATGATATTGATGGTATTATAATATGATAGATAACAACCACGTGTTAAGAATAATTTATTTTTTTAAGGCAAAACGTGTGAGGACAGTCTCTCATTAAACTGAATGGTGTTATATGTTTGCATATAAATAAAGGCAACAGTAGTATACCGCTGTTCGAAATTCATAAATCGATTGAAAAAAAAAACAAATCTGGGTTACAAACTAAAACTGAGGGAAACACATCAAATATAAGAGGAGAACTACGACACAACAGAAACACAACACTTAAATGTTACACACACAGAAACGAACTATAATATAAGAAAATGCCATTTTCCTGACTTGGTAAAGGACATTTTAAGTAAACAATGGTGGGTTGAACCTGGTTTTGCGGCTACCCTAACCCCGCACTTTTATGGCAATGTTTAATATATAACATTAAAATGACAACATTACATGACAGGACTACAGTACAAATAAATGAAAGAACATTCAGGACAAAGAAATACACAAATAAACATTACAATAGGACATTTCGACATGCTAATAGTTATCAAAGGTATTAGGCTTATAATATAATACACCATGCGTGTGTTTTGTCTACATAAGACTCACCAGTGACGCTCAGATCAAAAAAGTAAAGAAAGCCAAACAAGTACAAAGTTAAAGATCATTGGTGACCCAAAATTCTAAAAGGTGGTGCCAAATACGGCTAAGGTTATCTATACCTGGGATAAGAAAATCCTTATTATTTAGAATATTTCTTACTTTTGCAAACAGTAAATTTATAAAAATGACCATATAATTGATGTCCATGTCAACATCGAATCATATAATCTTGATTTCCGTTAATTGCAGTTTTCGAGTCATTCATCTTCAACTTCTGTTAACCTAAAACACGTTTTGAAAACGAAATGATATATCAGCATCTCACCTAAGCGAGCTGTGGTCTTCCGTTTTCTTTTACGGTCATCAGTTGTTAAAGCTAGAAATAAAAGTATTAAATATAACTAGATACCTTCTGTACATTCCATAAAAACGTATTCATTATTGATGTCAACTTGATGTAGACATCTCTACAACCTTGAGATGCTATGTTCCCAATTACGTCAAAAGCGAACCAAGCATTCACAGGTTAGAAATGCTTTGTTAATACTAAACAATATTGAATTGCTAAACTCCTTTGCCTCTCCGACTTTTTTATGAAATCTGATGTTGGTGCTTAAATTGACATATTTAGTATTTCTTTGCGAAAAGATTGTGTTGAGAATCGATCTGACATCATACTTATGTAGATAAAATAAGAATTTATTCAATTTTGTTTATTATTATGCTATTTTATTTTTATTATATCTCGGAGAATATTCAGAACGGACGATTTTTTCACTGTTTTGCAATTAATGTTTAAAAGGAAGAGGCTGTATGTGCGTTACAACAATTAATGGTATATCTTTAACCAATACGTCGCAAGACAGTGTTTTCGTAAATTGAATGATTCATTGAGATTGACAAATCAGAAGAAAATGTATCAAAGATGCGTATTTTGTTTTTTAATTTTATGTCATTGTTCCTAACCAACAAACACATGGACTATTTCCAATTCATTGCTTTGTCCCATTTGCCAGGGTTGTCATCAATAATTTACTTTTTCAAAATTAACATTTAGACATTTTTTTAATGTTTAAGCTCTTTTCATTTTTTTTGTTTGGCACTAATAAGTACATAAGTAAAAGTATAAGTCAGTACATGTACATAGTTTTAAGAAATATAAAAAAACGGGATGGGTTAACTTACTTGAGATGACTGAGAGACTTGTTTTCTCTGATGGTTCTGCATATTTTACATCTATGAAAACAAATATCAAACAACAACTAAACATATTTTTCATCTCATATAAACTGTGTGTGGTTCCTCAGGAACACGTCATATCGCTGTGTTCCAACTTCACTGACATATTGTATTTTAACCAGCATCTGTTTACAATTTCGAAGCATCAAAATACACCCCTGTTTTGTTGAATTTTCTTTTTTTTCGTTTTCAGTATTGTTTATGCTTTAGTTTGTTTACTATTCAACTATTGGTTAAATGTTTGCTACACTTTAAGCTTCATTATAACAATGTGTATGGATATTATCAATTGTTAGTTTAAAGTTTCAAGTACAATTATTGAAAAGTTAACCCCAAAATGCGCTGATTGTGACTGAGAGTAACTTTCTCTTCTTATTCTTATACCATTCAATTTAATAAAATGACACGCTCAATTGAAAAATTAAGTAGTCCTTTAAGTGAGATATAAGGAAATCTCCATTGTGTACAGTGTTGTTTATGGGAATAGTAGTTTTCTTCCCGATATATACATTTTGTACTGAAATACACTGATATTTGTTAGATTGATATGTGACAAATGATAATAAAAATATGTTGACCTCATACTTAATCATGATATCTTTATTTAAGCCTGATATTGTAGATTATATTATAAAAAAAAAAGAAAACTATATATCAAAATGACATATTTAGTAATGCTACTTGACATGAAGCAGAATATTTGAAAACAAACCCTTTCGGGCAAGTTCCGTTAAATGTACAGATGGTAGATATAGGAATAATGCAAGTAAAATGTATCATGCATTAACGAATATTCGGTAACCTTTTCATTTTGTTTTTTGTCTGTCATCTAAAGGACACGAACAATTTACCAATGAAAAATATTATTGCGTTATCACAAGGTTGGTTTTAATTTTACCTTTTGATGTTGATCGCGTCCGTTTTCTTATTTGACCCTCGTGTTTTGAATCTGTGAAAAAAAAGTATAAAATATTCTGAAAAACATTTAAAACTCTTCTTTTTCATCTCAATCGCCTTGAACATCTTGCAAATGATACAGACATATCCCGAAACTATACTTATCAAAATTAAGCATAACAGGTATAGCAATTTGATATATAAATATATGTTGTTCGTTGGTTTAATTTTTTTTTGTGTTTCTGTTTTAGTAAACAGGTATAAAAAAGAAACTCAAAGAGCGGCTATTCTGGTCGTTCTTTCAATTATTGCATGAATTATATATTCCTTATACCTGCTTTTCAAATATATAAAACTACTGAATCTGTGAAACTAAAACTTAAAAGCAGGATGTTTCTTTGATTGCTTGATGATACTTCTACAAATTCGTCATGTTCAGGAGATTAAAAAGTTGTATTACCATACATTCTCCGTATTGCCAATATATTGTAGAAAACATCTGTGAATTTAAATCAATTAACGAAAAGAGGATATTGATGTATGTGTTTTCATATATTGTCGACTCTAAATTTTGTGAAAACGATATGTATATATATGTAGGACTCAAATCTATGGTGGGTTTCAGATCTATGGCAAATTCCTAATCTATGGTAAACATGATGTCACAAACGCCAAACAAATCACGAATCTATGGAAGTTTTTTGTTTTCTCCAAATATATGGCAGATTGGATATAACGCAATTTTCCTTCACCATTACCATGATTACTTGACGTTCGAAGCTGCCGCTGACGTCAAATGTTTTGTTATCCAGAAGGAAAAGAAAAAGATAGAAAAGCAGATAATAAATTGAAGCAAATAATATTTCTTGAGATTTGGAAAAAAATAACTATGTCATAGATTTCTACTAGAAATTAATATCATTTTCCGCTATAAATATGTTGAATTACTGTACTGTTGGAGAAATGAGAACTTTTTTAGAAAGTATCGTGTTTGGGGCGATTCATTGTTCATTACAGGAATTAAGTCCTCATCAGTCAAAAAAGATTTACATTATTTAACGCTCAAATAGATCTAAGTTAAAGTCTTTTACAAACGGTTATGGAAATGCGTTCTCGTTATAATTATCCTAATTTTTCTCATACTGATTTTTATTTAAAAGCAGTTCTTTTGCTACCTTTGGATATTTCGACATTTAAATCATTGGTCAGATATAATGTATTGACTGGTCCAACAACTGCAGATAAACTGTAATGGATTTGAAAACAAGAAATCCGCCGTAGATAATGGAAACTTAAAAAAATTGCCATAGATCAGAAAAAGTAAAAAGTTGCCATATATTAGGATTTTCAAAAGTCTGTCATAGATTTGGGATGGCATGAATTCATATTTACCATAGATTAGGAATCTGTCATAGATTTGGAACCCACCATAGATTTGAGTCCTACATATATAACATTGATCATGGCAAGAGCAGTTTGCCAATCTCAAGTCAGATCCATCGACTAAGAAGAGACAAATCTGGGTAACAACGATAAACTGATGAAATTGCACGACCTCTTAATTATCACATATATCGATAGGTTAAATGTCTTCTGCTATTGCCGAATCCTCCGCCATTATAACATAAAGCAGAAATTAAAAGGAATTCACAATAACTGTACATGAATATATTGTAATAAAGCATGGCGAATGCACATATTTATTAGGAGTTTTTTTTTAATTTCAGTCTCACCACTGGTTTACAGGCGCAAGCGGAGTGTAAGTTTAATAAACTGTGTAAACAATGTCAATAAACTCATCATAGATACTAGGGTTAAAATTCTGAATTTGCACCAGACGCAAAGAATACTAAGGTAATAACTCGTTCAGACAAAGTTGACACAGCGTGTTTTGGATTTCAGCTGAAGTTAATTTTAGCTCTTCAAGTATTTAAATATTCATACGTTCGTTGAATCACATGTTTGTGTTTGCACGTTCTAAACACCGCTGTGGTTGAATTTTGAATTCAAAAGGGTATCACCAGTGAAATAGTCATTTCTTCAGCACTGAATTAATTTACATCAGGTTTAGTAAATGACAGTTTTGATCATAAACGTCTTCAATTATTACAGTATTTATCACCATTGGCTCTCAATTGTTTTGAATACTGTTGCTAGTGAAAATACATCCAGGAAAGCAATTTTTGCTAGCTTTAGGTCGATACGAATGCTGGTGTTGTTTAAGGTATCATCAGCACCGTAATATGTGTTTTGGCAAAATATAGATTTTTTACAAACCTTTTGGTCGATTCGGCCGTTGATAAATTTAAAAATTGTCTTAGTAAGATAAATGACAAAAAAAGGTGAGTTAGAACAATATTCTTTTTATCCACTCCTTTTACACAAAAAAATTGTATGTGTTTCGTCACTTTCATTTTTTAGCCTCATATTTTCGTTTTTAAAGAAAACCAAATATACTATAGCGTTGTGATGTCATGTTAATACACATTGATAGTAAGTCCCAGTGCAGGTAAATACAACTTCTCTCTTTCATAATGAATTATATTAAGGCAATAACACTTTATCACTGGCCTTTTCGATTTCATATCATAGTCACTGTGGCAATTATAATATTTATCTATTAACAAAAAAAAACAAACAAAAAAACCCAGATTTTTCTACGGCAATGTGCTGACAAAATGATCGCTTAAATGAATATGGATTACGCACTATTAAACTTCGAAACAATTATCTCAGTCCGTAAAAGTTGTTGAACAACTCATGTAACATGTGCAAATGATAATTGAAATCATTTGACCACATAATTCAATAAAACAATTAATTGACATCTGTTATTGATGAGTTTATTGTAGACACAATATTTGTATACCTTTTTCATAATCAACTGACTATTGCATGTATTGATTGACATATCAGCTTAAAAATATATAACTTAAATCGACTTTGTTCGTTATCACATCAATACAACCATATCTAAACTATGTGTTATGTTTTAGTTTAAGAAATACCTCTAAATTAAAAAGCACTATTCTTACCCAAGTTATCCATAGTTGGTCTACAGGGATGAAGTCTTGAAAAAGAATAAACATGCATGCACATACTTTGCTTTAAAGCTTACTGTTCGGTGTTAGCCAAGGCTTCGTGTTGAAGACCGTACTACTGTGACCTATAATGGTTTACTTTTATAAATTTTGACTTGGATGGAGATTTGTCTCATTGGCACTCATACCACATCTTCTTATATCTACATACTTTGGTAGACTTAAAAAGTAAATTATCTTGACGTTATGCAAGGTTCACAAATAAATTAAGAAGACAAAAATCACTGTAAAACAAAAACAAAAATTGAGAAAATCGCATACTGTGGATTCATTTATTTTCGTTGGTACTAATTTTCGTGGATTAGGGAAAATTGACATGTTCGTGATAATTTAATTTCGTGGTTTTACTGAAAGTCTGCGTACAAGCCTATACAAAATATGTCATTCGTTGAACACTTAATTTCGTGGTTCACTTGTACCCACGAAATCCACGAAAATTGGTATCCAACGAATAATAATGAATCCACAGTAAGCATAAGCTGCAAACATAAGCAAGGTTAGTGCATCGACAGCATTTGTGTTTTATTTTTTATATACTGCGGCCGTATAATTATTTGTTATATACAGTCACTAACCGTAAATCGCCTTGTTTGTGACGTTGACAATGCAACGCGTTCCCGAAAAGGGTTACCTGTGACGTCATTAAATGTACAGGTTCAAGGACATTTTATGTCGTTTGCTCCAAACTTAATAAGTCATTTGGAACAGCTGCATGAGTTGCAATATATAAAGAATAACCAAAACATGTCATGAAATATAAATGTAAGTTGTACTCGGCTCAAAACAGTATAGCAACGCTCGGCATCTCGCATTCTACCTGTTTCTATGCCTTGTACAAATAAGAATTGTATTTCGAGACAATGTATGGTTATTTAATATACAGCTTTCGTCACTCAATGTGGTTATACCATACTTTAATCAAATAAAATAACTATAGTCATGATTTTCTATCCCATATATAGCGTTGTCTGACAATGTATTGTCGCCTTCGTAAACTAAAATAATATTTCTTTGTATTCTTCTCCCTACGAAATTGATAACAACAATAATATTTGGAAATATTCAAACATATGATCCCTTCTAGTTTATTTTGTTTGCATTTACTTCGCAATTTCATACAACTATATTACTTCATAATACAAACATAAAAAAGAAAAAAAATTACATAAATTGCACTTACTACATTCTAGATCACCAAATTTGATCTTATTAAAATGGCTCATGACATACAATTTAGAACCTGCATATTTAAATTGCGTGTTGTATGTGACACATAAGTAAACATCGTGTAAATATGGATTATAAAATAGAAAGAAGCACGCTTAAATCTGTCAAATCATCAATATGATATCGAAAATGTTTACAAATGTATTCATTAGGATAAGCTTAGAAAAGTAGATCAAGGTCATAACATTCATTTCTTTGTTTACATTTGATAAAAATCATGATATAAAATAATTGAAATATATTATTATGTTATACAAACATGTTATATATTAGGATGTTTACCTATTTACCTTAATTACTCTAAAGAGTATATTGTCTTAATCCGCACAATTTAATCAGTGTACATTGAATCGCTCTGTGAAATTAATTATTTTGAAAATTCGAATGGAATGTTATAAATACATTTTCCAAAATGAAATAACTTCCTTATTTGTAAATGATTATCTTTTGTCCAACCGAATGCGCAATATGTTATTGATTCTATCATGATTATATAAATATTAAAATAAATTGTTCGACAAGTTTTATTCTTATTCCTATTTTGTGTTGTATTTAAGGATATAAAACTTAATATAAGTGGTAGACGCATTCAATTTGATAGATATTTGTTTAAAAATCATGAGCATGCATGTTCAGAAATATAGTTTTTGATATTTAAAGAAGATGAAATGTCAGAAAAATATGTATTGTGCACAATTTTAATTAGATAGACATGTCAACTATATATACATATCTTACATTATATCGTTTATCAGCTCATATTTAAAGCATACAAACACGCAGATATTATAATATTGATAAACGAAATGGAATATGTACAAAATGTAACCCTAGCTCTCTTTTCCGAAGGTCGGCGAGTCTGTCTAGGGCATTAGATATCCACCACAAAAAAACCTGATCGCTACCAAATAGTACAATGCCGTTGAACAAATGTTAATGTTGCGGTAAACCCCAATCAATAAATATATTAAAAAACCCTAGCTCTTTTGAAAATGAATTCCACTGTATACTTAAATGTGAAAAATATAGTCAAAACCAAGAAAAAGTATAACAAATAGTAGTATTGGAAAAATCAATTTGTATACACTCTTATCTATTTCTTTTCTGTCATAGTTAACATTCAAGAATTGAATAATGCAGGTACATGTATATTTTCGACATCGACAGAAAACATATAATTAACGTGCATGTCTATAGAAAATTGGTTCTCACATATTGTGTTTATTAAAGTATATCTTTCTCCAATCGTATTTCGTATTTTGACAGCCTAATTTTTTCTAAATTACTGAAATTAACTCAAACTTTTTTCTGAGTTCTGAAATATTGTAATCTATGGTGAACGGGTAGCAACTTTTGATTTTAGTCCCATTGTAAACATGGGGAAAATATCGATTTGTCAGAAAAAAAAAATTCCAGGGAAACGAATAAACGGAAAAAAGTCACGAATAAATGAGGGTCTGTGATATTTTATTAGCTATCTTTTATCGCTGTTATTATGATGGGGGGTTTCCAATGATATAATTAAATGCAAATAGTGATCATTATTAATTACTGTAACTACAATACTATAATCACAATTTAAATCAACTGTATATATTCAGATTTAAGCGTGCCAATGGCCTCAATATAAGTAATATTTTTTTAGTATTTTACTGTGAAACGTGATTGGTGATGCCAACATTTTTCAGCATTAGACATTTAAAAACTAAAAGTATTATCATTTGATTGAGATTAATTAAATCTAAGTGTATAGTTCAATGTATGTGCATGTAGGTTGCAGTGTAAATTAGAAAGAAAGAAATCCTGTCTTGCAATTTGTAGTTTCTGCACAATTATATTGCATCTAAAACAAGATGGATGGCGCCTCTAACGTACCATATGTTCAGTAAATATGAACGTGTAATGTGTTGTCATTGTTTTAACGCACAAATTAAAAACAAACGGGATTATTGTTTCTGTACAAGGATATGTTTTATCTTTGAGAGTACGAAAAACAACAAAACAAATGCACAAGCGTTAGAAAAATTAATACACCTTTGCAGTATAAATACATATAAGGAAATTTTGCAATGGATTTAGTGTTAAAATCAACTAATACATTTGAGATTATATGTAAAAACGCTATCACATTCACAAAGTTGCTACATTGTTATAGCTTTAAACAATCATATAATATTAATTAACACATACGATATAATCAAACTGCATGCAATATGTGAAGTATGAAAACAGAAAACTAATAAACACAAATTATAAAACAGTTTGTTGATGGTTAGCTGGCTCGCTGAAGTAAAGACCAGTTCAATTACATGTTAATGCATACAATATCTTTCAAGTACTATTAATGAAGAGTCTTTTAAAAATCAATAACGATTGTCGTTAAGATCTTGATATAAAATCATTACAATTGAAATTAAGAATAATATGGTATAATATTCGGTTGGGTTTTTTTTATTAAACTTTAATTAGCTGACCAAAAACACCTTTTTATGGTGTCATAATACTTTTTTTATGAACAATCATTTTATATGGAGTAACATTCCAGCACTTGCACGGTGCGTATCCAATTGTAATAAGAAAATAATATATGCAGAACATTAATATTCTGGATATAAACATACAATTTGGAATTTAAAGTATTTTTATTACAATAAATAATACCATTCAGTACCTCTTGTAATGGTAGCCAATAAAACTGGTTTTATCAATACATATTAAACAAACGTTAGCAATTGACATATACCGTATATATTATATAGAATAATTTTGTAACAATTTACATAATGATATACCTTAGAAGAGACGAAACTATGTTATTCAAAACATATGGCAACGTGTATGCGCATTTTTTCTTGTTAAAGAGAATTGGTAAATATAACTTCAATCAATGAAATGAATGTGCAGTTTTTGGTAAGAAAATTACATAATATGGTTTATTTTGTCTTAAGCAATGAATGTCTTATCTGATGTTATATGTGTATGTAAGGAATGACTGTTATATTATTCTGTCTTGAAATAACATGAAAAATGTAGTGCACACTGAATAATCCGAGTAGCATGTTATTTAATACTCATTCTTTGTAATCACTTAAACTTTTTCGGCGCACATAGTCACTGATCTTTCTGAAAATTGGCTGATATGTAGATCCTATTAGCCTTGTCAGAACAATAATGTCAACCGATATATATAATGGTTGGTTACCATGGTAACAGCGGAGAAAGTTGGGATTTTTGAGAAAAATACAATATTTGGTGTTGTGTTGTGAAATTATGCGGCTATACTATTAAAAAGAAACACAAAAACAATTAATTCCGGTCTTGTTTTTATCAAAAATCAAAAAAAGTAATGAGGAATCTACCTAGAAACATGTGAAATTAATTTCTAAAAAATGATCATTGTGCAATATTCCTCACAAAACGAATTATCTCCCTTTGGTGAGTTACACTAATGACTGGACAAAAACGAAAATGCTAATAACTTTTTTATTTCTCAAAGTATTCATGTCAAATTAGAATAGTTATAAATAAAGACCATTTAATACATAAATATAAGAAAAAATATAGAAAACTTTTTAAATCTTCATAAAACGTGACCTGACCAACGCTGACAATGACAGGACCAAATGAAAATGCTAATAACTTTTTTTTAGTTCTTTAGGACTTATGTTTAATTTGAAATATAATAAAATTTGATCATTAAATATATAAATATATGAAAAATATAGAAAAAAAATATTAACAAATTCCGAAAATGTGACCTTTCTAACGTTGACAATGACCTGACCAGCAACAGCAATGACCTAACCGATGACAATTTCTGTGTTATTTTATATATAAAAAAAAAAACAGGAAAAAATATGTTTTTGGGTAAAAAACTTGACCTTACCAACGCTGACTGTGTCCTGATCGTTGTAATACCTAATACTTATTTATATCTTATAGGATTTGCCAAAAATTTATAAAAAAAAAAAAAAATATTAAGATTGAATGGTAAAGTCTTTATCAAATAATCAACAAAAAAAAATGGGAAAAACAGTTTAGGGTACTATGACGAGCACCAGATTATTTAAACTGTTTATGGTATTGAGTAGTATATTGTATTTAACTGTGTTGTAAATTATGTTGTATATTACAGGTTATAATTTGACACGTTTGATCACAAATATAAAGGAACACACAAAAGTGGTGAAGTAGGCCATCAATACATGTAAATTGATAAATCCAATATAGTTTGTTTTTTAATATTTTCATAACAGATAATTATTTTTTCCACGTACTACTTAAGGCATGCCCGAGCCTTGTGCAGGATATCTTGGTAGTTTAAAATATTTTCATAAAAAACAAATAAACATTTCGCGGACTACTTGAGGTATGCCCGATCCCCTGCATGCACGATATCTTGGTAGTTTAAAATATTTTCATAAAATATAAGTAAACATATTCGCGGTATTAACTTGAGGTATGCAAGAGCCTTGTCTAAGTTTAAAATGTTCTCGAAAGTCAATATATTTATCGTTTGATAATATGTTTGAAAAGCATTTTATATTTTCTTATTTGATAAAATTAATGGTTCAATCTAAGTGTTTCTATAAATTTGATGTAAAGCCTATTACATATAAATAGGTATAAAGTAATTTTTCCTAGTAATGATAACGGTCAGAATGTAGGACAGAAAGTCACAGACAAAAAGTCACGGACAAAAAAAGTCTAAATTGTTTTTGTTAAAAGAAAGACAATATACTAATTCTGAGAAACATCTTTCTGTAATGGGCTTTCAGTGAAAATCAAATTATATGAACTTGTATATAATTCTTTTAAAGTTACCCTGTGTGAAGAGTTATAATATTATCAATATTTTTTAAATATGCTGCTAAAAAACCATAAAGATCATTTTTATTTTCTCAAATTTCAATAATCCAGTGCCTATTACTAATGTTAAGATAGTGCTACCATAGGCGGATCCAGGGGGCCCTGGGGGCCCGCCCCCTCCTTTCATTGGAAACATTTGGTTGATTACATATGGAATCACTGAAGCATGAATGTAGCGGGCCATCTCTTTAGGCAGTCAGTGGGACCCCTTATATGAAAATTGTCTAGATGGTATATTTTTCCCCCGCTGCTCGTTGTATGACCCGCAGCCACCCGCTGACAGATTTTCCGCGGGTCCTCGCAGGGAAACGGAACTTTTTGGAAAATCTCGAAAATTCCTCCACCGCCAGAACTGCCAACAAGAAATATGTTGGATGGATAGCAGAGACCATCGGGTCGACGGCCGACCGTACCCGCCCTTGCTTGTTACGCCCTTTGTTTGCTAAAGAACCTTTGTGTTAATTATTTATTGGGCTCCTAGTTGACCTATTGAAATATCTGTCCTTGTCAAATTGATCCCTATTTCCGGTGATATTTCAAATTGTCCG